GGGAGCCCGATGTGGGACTCGATCCCGGGACTCCAGGATCATGACCTGAGCCGAAGGCAGTCGCTCAACCAACTGAGCCACCCAGGCGCCCATTTGGTTGATTTTTAAATGAGGAAAAAGCCTACTTTATTAATGAGGAGTAAAGGCACTATGTTGAAATGTCCTACAAAGTTGTAAGAAAATAACTCACTAGTATAAAAAATTGTGTCTGTGGTCAACTTCTTATCAACAAACACTTTCAAATACTATGCCTTTTATCAAATAAATCACTTCACTCTTACAGAATCCATTTCAAGTCACCTTTCTTTCACTATAATTATAAATCCATTCCATCTTAAACAAAGTATGAAATATGAGGAAGCTGCTTATTTTACTACAATGTATCTAAATTAACAAGTCAGCAAAAATGTTTTCGTTTTTTAAAAGATTTATTTGAGAGACAGAATGAGAGGGGGGAGGGGCAGCAGGAGAAGCAGACTCCCCCTTGAGCAGGGAGCCTGATGTGGGGATCGATCCCAGGACTCTAAGGTCATGACCTGAGCCGAAAGCTGATGCTGAACGGACTGAGCCACCCAAGCACCCCAGCAAAAATGTTTTTTAACTCTAATAATGATGTTAAATTATAACCATTCAACATATGTAACTATTCAGTACAGCTATTACTTAGATTCAATTCAATACAATAAATGTTTTAAAAAATATAAATGTCCTCTGGATGCTATAAACAAACAAATACTTCTGTATTCTAATAGAATAATCAAACTATCAATGAACTTAAGAAGCCTATAAACCTACTGGCTAATTACTGTCTAAAAGAAGTTAGCATTAATCATATTGATCCAAAATTATTTAAGATTTATGGCAGGGGTTTTGGACTTTGGCTATTTATTAGAATCACCTGGGAGAGTATAGAACTACCAATGCCTGGGCTTCACTCCCAGATCCTATTTAAAATAGGATCTGAGATGGGAACCAAGTATCAATATTTGTATCAAAAAAACAAAACAAACACAGGTAAACTGAATTAAACATACAGCAGATTTGAGAACTACCAACTTAGGAATATACTTAGGAATATACTTCAGTTTTAAGATAAAAAAAACTTGTTCACTGGCACCAAAAGTTTTAAGTCTACTTAAAACTTAAGGTGTAGGAAAAAAAGAGAGTGAAGAAAAGAGATAAAGACAATATTCAAAAAAATAATCGAGGCTTACCAAACATTTTTGCCTTTAAAAAATGTTAAAAGTTGAAAGCCTTATCTTAGACTTGGCTGATAGATCTGCTTATGCTACACAGCTAAATAAAAGCCTAGCAATACAAAAAAAATAGTAAGAATAAATGACAGAAATAATTATCAATCAAACTTAACACCACAGAAAGACAGTAAATTAATATAGTATCACAATCAAATGAGACAAAATTATAGTCGCTTTAATAACTAGGGGCACCTGGGTGGCTCAGTCGTTAAGCATCTGCCTTCAGCTCAGGTCATGATCCCAGGGTCCTGGGATCGAGCCCTGCATCGGGCTCCCTGCTCAGCGGGGAGCCTGCTTCTCCCTCTCCCACTCTCCCTGCTTGTGTTCCCTCTCTCACTGTGTCTCTCTCTGTCAAATAAATAAATAAAATCTTTTTAAAAACTTTTTAAAACTAACATTTTCTAACCTCAATACTACACAGAATAGTGTTTCTTTAAACCACTTTCAATATCTTCAATTCTTAAGTACCTCAAAAGAGAATAATTCATTTTAAGAAGATAAAGTTACATGGCTTTAATCTGAGATTAGAAAGAACAAAGAAGTGCAGAATATCTCCCTTATGAAAAGAGCATATACATCTGCACGATCAGCCCACAACACTCCCTTTACAACAGGGTCCAAAGAAGTTAATGTCTCTGAGCAATGTGATAAAAAAAAAAGTTCTTAACTATAAGCATTTTAGCATATTATCACAGAATTCAGTTTTTCCTCTAATAACAGCTAAAAGTGTATGAAAATTACTAGCAACATGAGCCGGCATGAAGGGATGAATGAGGATCACCAGAACATGTCCGAGTATGTTTGTTACAAACTGGATGGTAAAACTTAAAAGAAAAACTAAAGATAACCCAACCTTGAGAATAAAATTAATTGAACCAATAATAAAGCAAGTTACACAGGATGACGGAACCAGTTAAACCTCCGTGTAATTTCATTTTTCTTAAAATGAAATTTTAAGAAACTTATTTTAAAATATTTGAGAGGTACTCTTTAAGACACAAAAAATAAGAATAAAGAAACATTTTGATAAATCTTAAGTGCTTTCAGTTAAACATTAGAAAATTAAATATATTATTATCCAAAATTCAGTTACATATTATAAAACTAATACCTAAGTGCCAATACCCTGGTAAAGATTTCAAGATGTTAAAGGAAGCACATTTTGAATGCAGAATGGTTAGAGATGAAAGATGTACATTTCTATGTCATTAAAGAAATGAGATTCTTTTGTTTGTTTGTTTGTTTCAGGAGGAGAATTCAGTGATTCAGCAAAGAAATGAGATTTTTAATTATAGACGTATACGTTTATGAACCCACTTCAGCATCTGTTACATGTCATAAAAATAAGCCTCCAAAAGCCTGTCACTAGAATGACTTAATAGAATTCCAGTTTGGTATCTCACAAATATATTAATCTGTACACACTATCTAGATTATTCTTGGTATATACTTTTTCACATTCATCTCTCCTGAAAAAAAATGTGAAATTTTAAAAGATTACCCAGCCTCGGAGGAAACACTCCCTCAAGAAATAACTGTTGAATTAGCTCCATAATTTAATGACACAAGAACTCTTACAACTTTAAATTACAACTCTCCAAACCTACCAAAGGTTAAACCCATAAAGAATCAGCTGATGAGCAGAAGCTGAGATAAAAGAAAAGATCAATAAAGATAATTGGAGAGACGACTATTGTCCTTAGACCAGTGATTTTATGACTGCCAAACTGTGCACATGCATATATATACATGCTTATATCACCCACACACATACACACAGTAAATATGCTTCACTGTTTTTTTTTCTACTAATCCCAATCTAAAGACATGACATAAATAGAAAGGAAAACTAAATTGCCCAGACTAATTATGGACTAAGGATTCACTGAAGGAAGGAAGGAAGGAAGGAAGGAAGGAAGGAAGGAAGGAAGGAAGGAAGGAAAGACGGATATAAAAATATACTGGGGGGAGGGGAGATGATACAGATAAGAACTTTAACTCTAAACCAGTATCTGTGATTCACAATGCTAAGGTGATTCAAGGGCATAGTAAGGGATCCATCGTAGGGTAAATGTGAGCTTAACAAACAAAAAGTCTGACTGAAATATAAAGTAATCATAATATATATTTTAAAAAGCATAGAAGATCTATATAATAGGGCAGGATATATTAGTTTTAGACTATGCAGTTTAAAATATCTTCCCTAAAAAAGGGATTTTATGTGACTAAATTAGGGATTAATGCATCTTACCTTCCACAGAAGGTGCCTGATCCTGAGCTGAATACAGCATGTCCTTGAAAGCCTATTAAAAAAAAAAAAATGCATGAAATCATGAGTAATCTTTACACTAAAAGCATTTGACCCTAAGCAATTACTTCTTTTTCAATATCCAAACTACATGATTCCCTATATTGAGAATTTAGTAAAATACTTCAATTAACTTTAATAAGCTGAAATCCAAATACCATACTTTCGTTATCAATCCACTATTGTCCAATCTTTAAGAAAATGGCTAATATGTACACTTTAAAAATTAAAGGGCATTTGGAAAAGAATGAAAAATCTCCTGAGAGATCATAAACTCTCTTGACTAAAAGAAAATAGTGACAGAAACTGAGAACAGTGGTCCTAGAGAAATACGTGGAACACTGCTTAAGAAAATATGAAACACTGGATACAAATTTTTTTAATTGTAGTAACATAAAAGTAACAAAATGCACCATCTTAACCATTTTCACATTAACAATTCAGTAGTGTCAAGTACATTCACACTGCTGTGTAGACAATCTCCAGAATTCTTTTTATCTTGGATACAAATACTCTTCAATGAGGGCCTGGAAAGTCCTCCATTAAGAGTTCAGGACTATAAACATATTTACAGATTTACTGGTTTTTTCCAAACCAGTGAATTAACTACCAATAATATTTAGGTAATTTGGATGGCTGGTGTGGTCTCCCAATAAGTGGTTTGGGGGCAGTAATGAAAAAAGCATTTCAACATACCTATCAATAGGTAGAATCAATCAATTGGATAAGTTTCCAGTGTGAAGAGCTGGTCATAAACAGGTGGCTATATCCAGTCCTATAGCTTCAAAGCTTCAAATACCATCTAACAATTGGTGATTCCCAAAGTGGCCTCCGGCCTCCCTCAACAACTAACATTTGGAGTCAGATAATTCTTTATTTGGGGGTAGCTAGGGGGGCTGTTTTGTGCATAATAGGATTTTTAGTATCATCCCTGGCATCAAGAGACCCACTAGCCTCATCAAGATACCAGTAGCAACTCCTCCACCAAAACCGTTGTGACAACCAAAAATGTCTCCAGACACTGCCAAATGTCCCGTGAGGGACAAAATCAATACACTACCCCCACACCCAGAACCACCGCCTTAGAATCACTCAAGTATAAACCGAAAAAAGAGGAAGTAAACCTCCAGGGTAAGCCGTTCTATATTCAAGTCTAGTAAATTATATTCTTCCCAAGTGAATTTACCATTTGCTTTAGACCAGTGACCAACCTGTTAGTTCTATAACTAACCAAGCCTGACAACATATGTAAAAAAGACTCCCAATGAAACAAGGAAAATTAAAATTAATGCATTTTTGTTCATTTTAACCCATGTGTTTCTTTTAAAATCTTTGTACGAAAATTATGTATATTTAAAAATTTTAACAGCGCACATGCTTAAATCCATAACATTCAGTAAGATTCACTATTTATATAGGGGCGCCTGGGTGGCTCAGTCGTTAAGCGTCTGCCTTCAGCTCAGGTCATGATCCCAGTGTCCTGGGATCGAGCACAGCATCGGGCTCCCTGCTCAGTGGGAAGCCTGCTTCTCCCTCTCCCACTCCCCCTGCTTGTGTTCCTTCTCTTGCTTTGTCTCTCTCTGTCAAATAAATAAATAAAAAATCTTTTAAAAAAATTCACTATTTATATAAAATTTGAAACACTACAATAATGCAACTGTGGTATAATAAAAAATATTTGCTCTTTGTTTCAGGTTCCTGACACAAATTTCTTTTTTTTTTTAAATTTTATTATGTTATGTTAGTCACCATACAATACATCATTAGTTTTTGATGTAGTGATCCACGATCCATTGTTTTCATATAACACCCAGTGCTCCATGCAGTACGTGCCCTCCTTAATACCCATCACCAGGCTAACCAATCCCCCCTCCCCCCTCCCCTCTA